TATACAATATCGTAAGCTTTCAAAGCGTTTCACATTGACAAACATGGAGACCATATACCTGTATTAAAAGTGGCTGGATGCAGCGAGCTTCATTAATTATGTTTGAAGTTATACTTCAGTGATTGCAACTGAAGCACCATGATGTTTGTTTTCAGCCCAACTAATTTTATAAATAGGAAACTAAGTGTTTATTATGCTTTCATGGCATCGCTACTCAATGTATGGTAATAAAATTCTGCACACAGGTGAAGGGCATAGATTAATTTGTTCTTTGTAACATTTATTGAGCTTAATGGGGTGTAGGGTACAATAAATTCATACAAATAATATGTTATCTAGCTATAATTTAGCACATTTAGACTTTGAACCTATTCATTAACGTTGTGACGTAGTCTAGTATCATGAGTCAGTTATGCGTGAATTAATATATAAACAGGTGTTGGGTCGGGTCATTCATCGGTCGGATCATTTCCTATAACATGAATGAACGCAATGTTGACTGGGTCATCCGTTATACTCGTGAACGCGTATTGCTTTTAGGAACTGGTGTAGTCTGATATGACTGATTGAATTTGTTGCTGTAGTAACTACGTCTTTAATAATATACTGCCTCAAATTAATTTTATTTGGTAGTATATATTCATACAAAACTTTAAAATATAAAGTTACACTTCTTTAAATATATAGAAGGCAAGTAAGTTTGTAGCTTATTCTTCTTAGCTAAATCAGCATTCCGAAAAGGTAGAAAATAGTGAACGAGAAATAGGGAATATGAAAAGAACTCGGTAACAATTTGACTGATAAAAACTAACGACCCGTTTATTTGAAGTTAAGGCTATTTTTTTAATTCATATGAACCGTAGGGCCAAATTCTGTCCACTAAAAAGGTTTTATCAAAATGGGATCACATAGTAGAACCTAGGTAGTCTAGCAACAACTATACAAGAATTATATCACCAGTCGGATATTATAACTATTACTCTATAATTTGCACTAACCATAAAAGGGTAACATCGTTAAAATTAGAAAATGGTTTGAAGGGTCTCACGTTTCCACACTAACGGAAGGAATATTTCAAAGAGGATAAACCTAAACAGCTAACAAGCAAGGATTCTTTTATAAATATCGTGACCTGAGCACTTTCAAGTGCTGAGCAGCGGGTCGAGCCAATTTCCGAGCAAATCTACGTCTCCACAAAGAATGCAAGTGACCGAATCGACGTCATATGTTGGCAAAACAAATCAGCTGCCAACGCAATACGACACGTCTGTCTTCAATACTCAAGGTGGATATTACATTCACAAATATATTAAATCAAAACTACAACCAATTTGTCAATTTATAACGTTAACGATGGCATTGTCAACTGTCGACGGGTGGAGAACGACACACATGACATGCCCATATAACGCTGAGTATATTTGAATCCAAGTGGTAGGGAATACACATTTGATTCAGGAACACAATCTTTAGGGTCTATGTCGGGGTACTAGTACACTATAAAAGATCTTTACAGATTTCAAATTTTGATTAATATATCTTGACAGACATCCAATATCACTAGTTACTGGAAGTCTGTCAAGAAATGTAAAATGTGAAAACAATTTCAGACAGAGCCAACAGTATTTCTATGCAATAGCTGAAAATGTGATTGTCGTCGGCGGCCGGACATGACATATCAACCAGTTGCTGTGTCAGTTTGATATGCAAGTTATTACATACGAGTATTAGCTGGTATTTTGCGCAGATGAAATCATTGTTGAAATATCGTTCCAAATATGAAACAGTTATTTGTGCTAGCGGTCAAAATTAGACCATAATTCAATTGAAACGTTATGGTTGAAAGTTAATTCAATTCCATTGTTAAAATCCAATGCATATATGTATGTGTGTCTATATGTGCCAAAAGCATAGCAGAGTAATGTTTATTTCAATTACTATATTTTAAGCATAAAGAAAATTAGATTATTACTTAATTTTTATAATAAGAGGTAAAAGGTTTTACATCACTTATTAAAATGTAGATAGATTTACACTGCAGATATTTGATTGTCATAGACCGTTTTAAATCAAGATGCAACGAATATATATAAAGTTTGATTCCTATCATATTCTCTTACTTTAGTTTTTCTTTCTGAGGTTGAATATATACGCAGCAAACAGAGAATGGCATATGCAATTTGATATTTTCTGATAGTGTTTTACTTTTAGGCTTCGGAAGTTCTTAATATTTAAATTACACACATGTTGAAAGGAAATGAAATGTAGTAGACATTGTTTAAAATATATCCTTATATCTCTGTTATATAAGATATATAAGGATCTCGATATAAGGAGATTGCAAAAGAAGCTGCTGACAACTGAAGTGAGTGAGACTAAGAAGTAGTTGAGAGAGATATATTCTATCTTTCATAATTTTTGTGTGCGTAATCAGCACAATTCATAGATGTATCTATATATATTGTCTTACATATACTAAATGTAATGAGCCCCCTAACAAAACCTCCATACCGTAATATAGCGTAACGCTTGATTGATGGCTCCTGGTTACTCTGTAGCCAGAACCGATTGGTCTTGGCTCATTTGGTACCTAATCCGGCAAATTAGGGGGCTATATATACAAAAGTATTTTCTGACAAATATATTTGTCAGAAAATACTTTAATTATACTCCTTTCAGACCTTATGTTACGAGCGTGCTTTACAATTTTAAAACGCGTTTATTCGGTATTCATGGGCGAAACCTACAAAATGATAGTGACTTCCTAAAATAGCTATTTATTTTTATGTAATTGGAATTACAAATAAGTTGAGAATTCACTTGATGGTAAGCAGCGGTCACCCCAGCCTATACATAAACTGGTCATAAATACTGTTACACTTAAAAATAAACAAAATATTACATTTGAATTTGGAATCAGTCAATGTTATGAACGTTTATTGTGTTTTCTCATTTTCGGTTGTCAAATATTTTTTGATATTAAAATGGAGTGGGATGATAAAGAAAACCGAATTGCATTACTCAAAGTAGGTAGGGATCTAAATACCATTTTTGAAACTATCCATTCGCATGATTAATATGTATATTTGTGTCGGTACACAAATATACATATTAATAGGGTTTTGATAGTTACAATGAAACCTCCTCCTTTTGTGACAGAAAAAGATCTGACCAAAAATGGCAATCAAATTAAAATAAAGGAAAGAAAAGTCGATAAAATCCTATCAGAAGGTAAAGGTTTTTATCTCGCGAGATGAAGATAGGTTCCTAGAACAATATCCAGTACTTATTTTAAAAGATGATTTCGGAAACGCAGCCTATATGAAATGCAGTGGTCATAACTTAGCTGATGATTTTTAACAAGTCAAATCCAAAATGAGCCTTAGCAAGACTCAGCGCTAGGTAATGAATGATCCACCAAAGCTTGGTTGGATACGAATGTTTCAGACATCATCAAAACCTGAATACTGGCCGTCATCGAGTTCCGATTTTAATCCGCTGGATTATGATTTACGTTTTCTTGTTTACGGACTACTCTAATGCTGTTGACCAAAGCTGGCCTTTATAGCTTCACCAGACGATAGGGGGCGAGTGCAGATGGCTCTCCAAATCTGTGGAAGGACGTATGGAGCGGTTGAAGGCTAAGTCCTGCCTGACGGATACAACTTTAATCTAAGTAAAAAAACTTTAGTCTAAGTTAAAATAGTTGATACTGACCCATGCAAACGACTTCAACACAAAATCATCGGGCAAAAATAAATAAGTTAATAAGAAGTCGTTCTCGCATGTCACGTAGAACATGCATGTCTGCTACAAATTGAAAATGTAATTAATCTAAAACAACAACAAGCTATGCAACGAGCAAAACCCTATTTCATCGATATTTTATTTCTACAATTTTATTCAATAGCTTATATCTCTTGAATGTGCTAATTGGCAATCTGTTTTCCTTTTAATGGTTAATTATGATTTCTGTTTGCTTTAATGTTTCATTTCTTTGCTTCAAGCTATGAAAAAGCTTCTTACGACCCATTGCATCTTGAGATGTCATATTAATTCGGTGAATTTAAGATACCCGATCCCCGTAGTTATGCCATGCATGTCTGTATATTGAATATTCTTAAGTAAATAAATCACAGTAAATACTGTAGTTTTTTTTTTATTTTTATACCATGTAGGTGGCAAACAAGTATACGGCCCATCTGATGGTAAACGGTTACCTTAGCCTATGGACGCCTGAAACACCAGGGGTGTATGCGCGTTGTCGACCCTTAAGAAACCTTAATATACCCTTCTTGAAAAACCCCATGCTGTAGTCTCTCGAGAAAACCTCGGCGGGTAGTTCATTCCACAATCTAAGAGTACGCGGAAGGAAGCTCCTCTGAAACTGCACTGTCCGTGACCACTTAGGCTCCAGCGTGTAGGGATGAATTCCCTGTCGATGGCGAACGGTGGGATGGTAAAAGGTAGCCGTAGGCATTATGTCAAACATTTCAGAAAACAGTCCGTTGTATACTCGGTAGAACACACAAAGCGATGCCACAAAGTCTCGCCTCAAGCTAAGTGGTTTGATACCGTTTGATAGATTGGGATCATCGACAATTCTCATACCACGTCTCTAAACCGAGTCAAAAGGACCGAGGTGGTATCCAGGTGCTCCTGTCCAAAGATGAGAGCAGTACTCCATGTGCAGCCGAACCTGCGACTTATACAAGAGAAGTCTCTGGTCTGCAGTGAAGTACAGCCTCGCTATATTCAGCACACCGAGCTTTTCGGACGCCAGCTTGACCTTTTCTTCAAGGTGAATACGGAACTCGACTGTGCTAGAGATGTCGACACCGAGAATCCCAATACTCTTAGAGATAGTAATGGACGTGTTCTGGAAATGCGGAGCCACAGCAAAAGGGGTGCCGTTGCTGTCTTATTCTATCTCACGCTTGTAGTAAATATGAACCTTTAGTATGTAAAATGTACTAAAAATAATGATAATTTGTACTTACTAATTTCCTCGGAATCGTCGGATAAACCAGAGGAGCGATCTTCGATTTTCTGAAAATAATAATTTCATATTAATAAAAAAAGCATTTTAAAAAGAAACTTTTCTTTTAAAAAGCACTCCCGAGTCTATAAAAAGTAAAAAGCCTTTGTAACGTTAATCTAATTGTAGTTTTTTCATGTCAGTCTATTATCTAATGTTTCTACTTTCTAGAGCCTGTAAATAAAAAGTATTAAAAACTATTTTTTATAATTTAGGAATTTGACTATATAATATAACATAAGTAAAAATCTATATACCTGTCCATACTTCATAACTATATTTTTTATCAGTACCTGAATATATAAAATAGATGTTAATTCATTCATATAGTATTGCAAAGTTCATATATTTTCAATATGTATGGGATTGTACAAAATCTCTACTCTAATGCTTTACGCGGACACGATGAAAATTTGCGGCTATCAGTACCGGCCTCGTATCGGTGAGTTAATCTTGAAAGATGAAAGATTCACAAAATGAGAAAATAAGTCAAGTTTTCTTTGATAAGTCGAATTCAAGTGGGCTATTTTCCAGAAATATTGAATAGGACACGCCAGATAGGTGGCTTTTAAGAAAATTACCTTTCGTTAATATTCTGTATTGATATTTCAGTTAAGTTACATACCTTTTATTGGGCACCGATAAGCGTGTATTAATGTCGCGACATTATTGCTTCTATTTATGGTTCCCGTAGTTAAATATGCAATGAAACAATTATGCATACAACTTTGCTGACAATAATTGTTGACCAGCCGTTATCTATTTCCAACATACATAGTATATTAATTATAGGTACAGCTGCTATTTTTACTCATATATATATATATATATATTCTATGAATGAAGGTACATAAAGGATTGTGATATCATATACCACAATAGAGTTTTTACGGTTTAGGTTCTCTCATTCGGGATCACTACGTTATCTTTCTATCCAAACTTATCGTTAACGATACTCTTTCAGAAAGCTTTGTTAGAAACAATTCTATTTACTATAAATGAATCTCTATGTTACCAACGTAAGAGATGAAATTGGAAATAACGTCCATAATAAAGTAAAACACTCTTTGCATTGCATTCAATCAAAATTTATAATAAAATATCTTTTAGGTGATAAAAGTTGACAGGAGCATTTAACTAACAACCAAATTGTTATAACCAAGCCAGAAGCTAATTAGTGATAAAAAAACGCCACCAATTGACGTTCCACTACAGGGCAGGTATCAAACCCTCTAAGCGGATATTAAACTACTACAACTTCGCTTGCCAAGCGGCTTAGTATACCTATGCTTTATTGCGAGTCTTTCTTGTTTTGCACTGGTGCAATGTTTGTGCTTTGTTTCCCTAGTCGGATCTTACAACAAGTTTTATAACAAAGTTTCTCATCTCTGAGCAGTATGAAACAAAGTCGCCCTCCGCGTCCGTCTATTTCCTAGCTTACTTTTAAACCACGCAATACTTCTATACGGATTGGATTCTACGAAGTGTGATTAAGAATTATTCTACCAATTAAAAGTTTTAAATTGCTTCTAGATATAAATGTTGGAATAAATATTATAGTATATATTAAGGATTAATCAGCGTTTTTAATTAAAAAATATATTTATGTAATCCTATTTATCTGTCACAAACAACTACTGTATATCCTACTAGAAAAGCTCTAATTAATTTGTAGCAAGATGGCCCTGCGTAAAATGTCTGTACATGACAATGTAATTGCTCATTATATTTATTTCTATATTGTGTATAGTGTGTATTAGAAATGTGGAATACTATAATAAAAAAGTAGAAAAAACGGAATCAGATTTTGAACTCGAAAATGAAACTTGAAATTTAATTATAGCAATGCATACACGATAGTGCTAATTATACTTCATTTTACATAGTTATAAATGATATACTGTCGCGTGTCGCTAACCACATATTCACATTAATATTAATGCTTAGCGAAGCGACCAGGGTTCGCATGGGTTCAATTATGCCATCGATATCTATTTTTATTAAAATGTAATATAATACTACGTTACTAACTGACAATGTACATTTCTATATGTGGATTTTTTTTTTAATTCAGTAAATATATTTTGTTTTTATAAATATAATACTTTATGCAAGCTTCTGATAATTTTCGAATATCTATTTTGTACACATATTGGTGGTATATTCTGGGTAAGTCAATAAATAAATAAAAGTATTAGTCTGATTATTATATAAAGCATACACAGCAACCCTATGTATGCTTTATATAATAATTTGATTAAGACAATAAGGGTATATCAAAAATAATCAATAGCCTCAGTTCTTACTTCCGATGTCCGCGTATTCGCTTCCTCGCAAGGTGCAAACATTTGTATTCATGAGTATGACTGGTTGTATTGGTTTGGGTGTTTTCTATATATGTTGTATGTGCATTTACAAAAAAAAATGTATTTGTTTCAGTTCTCTAGTGCATATAACAAAAGGACTGCTAAGCTTGAGACTAGATGGCGTTTTATAAATTATCCTGGTTGGTTATCATCATCAAAGTGAAAACCAGGCTTAGCGCTAACTTGAGGGAATTGGTTAATAATGGGCTATATTTGTCCCAATACTAGTAAACATCCTAGTAGGTCTAGGATGATTACTAGGATGTTTACTAGTATACCGTCCATGAATTACGACACACCTAGAAGGGGAAGGGCAGATGTCATTATATAATAAGGGGGCTTAGATTATGTGACATCGCATTTAAATTTTAGTATTAAAATACGAAAATTTTAGGTATTAAAATGTGATCGGTGATGAACTGTTAGTAACATGTCCGGTCGTAAAGGCAAAAATTTATGAGTATACAACCCTACTGAATTACTACATTTCCTATGAATAAGACATTGTGTGGGTAGAGGTGAAAGGAGAGAAGTTTTTATGGATAATAATGGAATGGTGCACTCGTCTGCGTTAAAGGTTTACCTTAGCTAATCACAAATGGATTGGAAATGAATGATTGGATGAGCTTGAAGTCAAGTTAGTCAGCCCATCGTGGCGAATTCATCAGTTTTTTATCGTGGTATGGTATCCAGAGGGGGCAGCGTGGATATCGGCCTGATAAGATATATTAGGAACCACTAGTTCTCATTATTGTCAATCTCCTTCCTCCCTGGAGGGAGACATGGGGAGGGTGGAAAGTAATCTAACCTACCTGACTTCATGCTCATTTTTCCATTTGTAAATACTAATGGATCTATAATATTATGTATTATTAGATCCTATATTGATTTCAATATCCTTTTTACTTTGTACTCTAGTATTTAATTTATAATCTGTAAATACATTTTCAGGCAGACAGCAGAAGATCATGTATCATATCAGGTGATCTTCCAGTGGGTCTCGCCTAGAAATTACCGTGATTACTTCCTGGTGCATTCACCACAATGGATGCTAAGAACCCTCACTTCATCCTCATCCAATCAGCCTCCACTTGTACCTCACTTAGAGTAAACCGTTAGCGTAGGCGGGTGCACCATTCCATAACCATTCATAAAAATTTACGAAAGACTTCTGGAACCGCGGTTCTACGACAATATTGTCAGACAGGCAGGACTTAAGTCGTAATAGCGATCCTCATTTGATTGGCACAGTGTATCGGTCGAAAAAGGAGGGAACGGTCGATGGAGGGGCGGCAGTAACAGATCAGACTGAGAGAATTTATCGATGGTAGGGGACATTGGATCGATAGAATTGTTCGGACATGGGATTTTCGGATGAATTTTGGATGCATTTGATTTAAGAAACAATAAAATACCACACAATATATATGAAAACAAAATCACATTGAACCAAAATGTTTTGCTTTAGGTACTATATTTAAATGTATTTCTTTTTTCTAAACTATCTTATTAACCCGTTAACTGTAACTGTAAGTCTTCAACCACATGAAACCGGTATCGCGATTCTATTATGAGTTATAGTTACTTTGTGGACGCATGGATCACAAAAGGAACTGTTACGGTCAATTTAAAGTTTATTTAACTGAAATAGAGGGCAAGCAGACGGTCCATTTGAACGTGGCCAACGTCACCTCACGGTCATCACGAATGTCACTTTATCAGGCGACGCACGTGGAATACCCCCATGAATAACGTTTGATCAAACTTATTGATATAAGTAAATTTCTTTATTACTTTCTTCATTATGAGGAAGAATAGTTTATTTTTAATTGATTAAAAATATTAACAGTATTGAAAACATAGGTCATTTTAAAATGTAGATAGGTACTATAGGTACGATATTTTTCCAAAATGGCCAAACTGAATATATTAAATATGCATTTTGAAAAAATGATCCAGATTAATTGCAATTACATATATGTATACCCCAATTAAAAAATATATTTATGAAACCTTACTTGTGTTAGTAAAAGAAACATATTTTCTGTAAAGATCATGGGCCTTTGTTGTGTATTGATATAAGACATCATATATAGAGCATATGAAATGGTTAGTTTCCTCTTAGCACAGTACCACTAACCGCCAGTGATAACAATGCCCTGTAACAATGAATTCTATCTATAAATATACTTATTTATATTGTAAATGCGTAAGTGTGTCTGTCCTTCTGTCTTCTTGTTTCTTTTTCACCAATGAACGACTGGAAATATCTTAATTCTTGAAGCGATTGATAGTTTACTTCAAGAAGTCTATTCTTCTTAAGCCAATTTTAAAGAATTGCAGACAAAGCAAATGTTTTAAAAATAAATGTGGTATAAAAAGAAAGTCTCCTTTTAAATTAATTCACATCCTTATAGTCCTGACTAAAATTTTCACATGCGAACAAAGTTTAGTTTAAAAACTTAAGTTTTATATTTGTTAATTACATAATATATGTAGGATTTCTTACTTTAAATTAAGGACACACAGAATACTGCTTGTAACAGCTAATTTCTCATTATATTATAAAGAAATTAACCACAATAATAACAAGATTTAATAATCTGAGGGTCACCCTACTTCGAGGGGTTCTATTGTATAGTATAGAGAGTCCAATTGAATATATTATATAATTCATTTTAAAATTAAAGACCTTGAGAATACCCAGTAAGGTGTTTGTAATACTTCTGTTCGTTGTGTAGTACCTAATACAACAGACAGATATTTTTAAAATACTCTTTGTGAATATGTATGTATATATTCTATGTGCCAGTCAAAATATTTCTGTATTGTGCAGCACCGACCTGTGGACCATCAGATAGTGAGGCAAAAGCTTCCATACCGTTTTAAACCACTGCATGACTAAAGCAGTGCTATTCAAGTAATTTAAATTTTCAATAGATATATTCTTTCAAGATGTGTAAAGAAATTTATTATTTCATCGTATATAACAATGAAAACTTTAAAAAAATACATATTTTTAATAGCCGTTTAAAAACAGTGATTAATGAATGGTTAGAAACTTTTTTTAGTTGATTTATTTTTTGTTTTTCTCATTTTTTTAATTTAAGTTTGTCAATATGATATATTCATATTTATTTAAATATAAATATCTCATTAATTATTATCAGTGGTGCAAAATAGAATTGAACATGCAGCAACATAAAAATTATATAAATAAAACAAATTCATTATTGACCCATTTACCTATTGTATAAATGTTACATATTACAGTCTTTCCCCATATATTTATGCTCAACATATAACCCGGCAGGTAAATGTTATGGTTACATAAAAAGTTTTTTATAAATAAAACTTAAAAACTTATTATGTACAAAATCTTAGTATACTTTTAGATTGTAATTAATAACATAGGTATTTTTATTATTCACTTTGGATAGAACAATAATAGATTTACTTTCTATTAGTTTAAACAAATCGAACAGAGCATTCCATTTTATATATGTAAACATAAATAGTTCAAACTTATGCGAAAATTCCCAATTAGCAACTCAGTGAAATTTAACTTTCACTTTCTGCACCAAACTTAACCTGGTCAACACATAAATATAATGTACAACAAATGTAGAATGAATACGATACACTTACGAAACGAAACACTTACGAATAAAAATTAAAATAACACAAAATGCAATGGTTAACATAAAATAAATAATATAATAACCTGTCCTCGAGGTATAGTAAACAAATTGATTAGCCATACTGTGTCATGACATTTAGCAAAAGCGGCATGTTTATATGAATATCGAAGTATAATGAATGAACGGCACATGCAAAAAGCGGTATGGATGTCTACTAAGGGTAAATGGATATATTGGTGATGTTTACCAGCGTGTCTTGGTCGCCTAGCTCCCTGTAGTAGGACTCGCTGCTTCCTCTTCGGCTGCTGACACACATCGCTCTTCGCAAGAGGCCGGACAACACAGAGCAAAACCCGCATTTTTGCATAGTTCCGTATTTACGAGCCCGCCAAATAAGTGAAGTGCTGCAAAAGTTGCAGATACCGACGCGGGGAGAGATTTATCTCATCAACCCTCAAGAAACAGAATTATAAATCGAAAAACTCTACATTTTTATGCGTTTAATCAAGTTATACCGCGAATTAGATAGTACTAGTTTCGTAACGAAACATGATGATATAGACTCAATTATTGTAGTTGGAATTTAAGGTAATGTTCGAAGTAGACCGTGATAAGAGAACGACAAACGATAACTGAGAGAACACTACGAGAAGAGTAGTCGTGCGGCCATCGGCCGAACGCCTATGAGCTACCTACCCCTAGGCGTTCGCCACTCCGACTATCGGAACGCTACGAAACGAGTCGATGTAAGTATAAAATTTACGTTTTATTTAATGACTATTTAACATAACACTATAGTTACCTATAAAAATATATAGGTGTATTTGCATTATAGTATGAGGATGATATTAACGAAGGTAATTAATTTATTACATATCTACTTTATCTATTAAATTGTATTTTTCGAATTTAAAAGTTTTCTAAATAATCAGCTCAGAGAGCTTAAAGAGAATTTAAAGTCTAAAAATTATTTAATATTAAATGTCACTAATAAAAGCACTGTAATTTATATTTATACTTATATTATAAAAAAAAAATATGTTCCATCTTATTTTAATATCTATTTATTAAAAATGTCATTACACGAATTCTACGAAATTCTAAGTTATAGCGTTTTGTTTCAGGATGTCTACCAACAGCCAATAGCAGCGCGCGACTTAAATGTTGCCAACATTATTTTACGATTACCTCAATTTGATATTTTACATCGTACTAAATGTAAAAATGTAGAATAACAAAATTTATTAAAATTATTAATAATAGAAGGTAACTACGTAAAATAAAGTTATGTATAGTGTGGGTAAAACAGTAATTGTTGATAATTTTATGCCGCGTTATTTCTTTTATTTATACTTAGTTAGTGTTTTGGAAGAAATCTTAGTACAAATTATATGCAATATTATAATGGGCAAGAGAAAAAATATTTAATATAAAATTAAGAAAATATTTAATTTAAACGATGTCATTTTATTTTTTACTTAGGCAATTTATTCATATACTGGCAATCTGTGAGAACGAGACACGATGTTTAAATACGAGATCTCTTTTCATGAGACAAATAATAATATCCTAATTTTATTGAAATTTGAATCTTACATGTGGGTTTTCAGAATACGGACAAATTCAAAGTTTAAACTTCTGATGCAAGTTTTATCCATAGAACACTTCTATTTTCATATTAATTGTTTACAATCTACATAAATATATTAATAGATTGTTGTCGTATAAACTCAGTGAATGTTACTATTATATTTTGGAATTACAAATTAATGAGTTTTATTATTTCAGTCTTATCTTATGCTTTTCTTCTATTTTTGTATTTCACGAAATGTCAATTGTAACTTATATGACACCATTAGATGATCATCTTTAAAGGTTGCGTTCCTACTTCCTACGCGACGTGCTGTAACTTGCTTGTATCAATATATTTGTCAGATATATAATGACTTAAACAAACATTTTAACTAAAATGTGACCTGATTATAGACACTTATAACCATATGATAAAGATGTAAATACATATACATAGACAGCCTAATAAAACACGTGTACCTATACCAAATAAGCCGATAGAGGGCAAACCAAAGTAAAAATATATCTTAAAGGTTGTGTTCTTTTTAGGTGTTCATGTGTTTCTTATGCTATTTATGAAAATAATAACTTTTATTTTAATAATAAAATCTAAAAATGTTATTCTATTTATGCCACCACCAAGCCGCTAGCTGCAGTCAAATTACAGAATAAGAGATAACATCCTCCTCTGAAATGGCAACGCCTGAGTGGAATCGCGGGAGTCATATGAGAACTTAATGTTGTAGTTTTTACCACTTCCATCACATGGACCTCTTGTTTTTCATTCCAATTGCTTTAAAAAGTCAGTTTCAGGGATATTCTACCATGTTATTGGATTGGTATAGGTATACTCCTTACACAGTACCTGTATCTGGTAATAATCTGGTATATAAATATATAGGTATACCCCATACACTGTACCTGTATCTGCTAATAGTTTGGTATCATGGTACATTTATTTCAGGTGGACCCGGCCCGCTTGGAAATCACTACTATAAATTCAACTTTTACTTCAATGCACTGACTGATTGAACATATTATTTTTTCTATTAATGATAGTAGAATAGTCTACTCCTCTGTTCTTACGGTTTACGCTGACAGGGTATCAATGGAGGATGATAAGATGAACATGATGTCAGGTCAGCAAATTATCAGGAATTTATTACAAGGGTTTGCAGTGGGAACCGCGCTTATGTCAACGTGACATGGTACATTGCTAGCAAATATAAATCCCCTCCCCCAATTACATATTGGTAGGAGATCTATATTTGCGCTTGATCTACTGAACTTGCTTCAGAACGTACACATTGATATACTAATTATAGAGAAGCAAAGGCCAGTTAACATAAATTATACTAATGTGTCTTTTTACTAAGGCCTAGTAATTTCCTACGCGATGACCATTATAATTATTATGTTGACGAACTCAAGTAGGTCGAGGTGCGCGCTAATATTTCTATGACTACGATTTATAATAATTGCTCTCACAATGCAAATGGTAATACAAACTCAGACATGCAATTCGCCAGCCATATGTATGTATTTACATAAAGATTAGTGTATACTGGTGTCTGCTTCTATCGAAGTATCGTATTTTCCACGATGGACTAACGTATTTAACCTCATGCATCTCTTTTACTATTCCACTGGTGCCCCGCCAGCGAATACTGGAATAGTAGTTCATTGGCATGCATTTTAGTCATTCAAGTAATCGTTTAGTGTGTAATAGGCTTTGCTTAATAAATATGATGTAACAGTTGTTTTGAATTTATTTAGGTAATTCTAGTATATCCTTCGGTATCTTATTGTAAATTTTATATCCATTCCCATAAAAGATCCATTGACCTTTTCTAAACGATACTGAGTAACAGCAAGTTTGTCTTTAAATCTAGTATTAATGTTATAAGCATAGTTGTTTCTAGGAAATAAGTGAAATTTTTTGGGTAAATATACAATATTTGAGTAGATATATATATATCTACTCAAATATTGTATATTTGCTGAAACCGTTGCTGAATATATATTCAGCAACGGTTTCTACGTATTATATGTATGTATTTACAAAAAAATATATCTATGTTATATATTAGTTGTCTAGCAAGTACCTACAGTTTGTGAATTGCTCTGCGATATTACGATAATAATTAATATAAATAGGCCTGTTACTAAAAGCTTCCACCTCCCAACATTACATAGGTACGTATATCACATTAAACGTGATCGCTATTTTGCAAATTATGAGCCAGATATCAATTGACCTTTCTTTGAAAATAGGTTAGGTCAAAGTCTGGACGTTTGGCGACCATCCAGCGTCTCGTGGACCTGCTATTTATAATTTGTCTGAGCAGAAAATGATAAAATTGAGTTACACATGAGTACTGATATGATTTTTTATATTTACCTGATTGGAATGGCAAAGAAACTGATGACACACCATCTGATAGGAAGCAGCTATCGCCTATCGTATAATATTACATAGTTTCACTGATCGATAGGGAGCGAGTGCAGATGGTACTCCAACCAGCGGAAGGACTTATGGAGCGGCGGAAACCAACCCCTACCTGCCGCATACGAGTATAGTATGAAGGCCTTTAACTAAAATATAATTTCCAATATAAATGTATCCATAGTTACTCCTAAGAACATTAGCTATCTGCGAGTAAGTCTTTGTAACTGGCTAATCACAAATGAATTTTGTATTCTAAATTTATAGTTCCTTTTATTGTACATTCTTGTTTGTTACTTCCTTCATATTCTGTTCTCAATACTATACGAATATATATTTTCTCCGTATATCAAATCTTTTTCCTTTTATCTATACATGAATAAAATAAAACTACAACAAAGGCCAATCAAAATCGGTCTAGCCGTTACAGAGATTAACAAGAACAGACAGACAGACATTTTTTTTATTTATGTGTAGTATATACGTATTTTCCCATTTGGTGAAAAGCTGTTAATTAAAAATTTCAAACAGACACGAAATTTTATTTATTTCTATGGGTGACATGACGCATATACATCAAGACAATATTTAACAATGTGGCCTAGGCGACACCACTTCAAATTACACTGATATTCCTTCCACCTGTCTTATTCAAAAACAATTCACAAACTTAAACAAAAATATTCAAAGTATTCCACTTGACAAATATATTCAGCATGTAGTTATTTTAGAATATATTATACAACTCACTCAATGCAATAAAAAACTACAATTGACTTGCACAATAATAAACTTTTTACTGCTTTCAAGAAAATAGATAACAACTAAAATGACGGTTTGACACTTTTGTGTTTTTATTTGTGCGCTTAACATATATTATATTATATAATATGTTTCAGGAAAATTCACATACCGCCATCTAGTCTCAAGCTAAACAGAGCTTGTGTTGTGGTTTAGACAACTGACATATATAAATCAAAAACATCCAGACTGGGTACAAATGTTGTACTGTGCGAGGAATCGTACCCGCCACCGTCGGATGTAAAGCGGTGTGCGAAACCGCTAGACCACCGCGGCCGTCATGTTTATTACTTCGTTGTATTTATAACTACTGACATTTCAATTATCGCTTGCACTGCGTTATCCAATAACTGATTACTATGTCAGGTTACGTTGGGTTCATATCTCTTACTGATAACTTCATTTTTGCTTACATTGTCTCTAATTAATATTATTAATTACCTATTGTATTTTTTAATGGAATTATGCACATGCCTTCGCTAACGGTATACTCTGGTGGGGCACCTGTGGAAGATGTGAACATGATCAGCCCATAGGGGCAAATTCACGTCGGTTTCCCAAGGGATCAACGTGAAGGTCTACCTGACATGGTACATCGCTAACAAATGGTACACATCATAACAATCCCTTCCCCCTACCTACTTACTAAACATTGACTTGAGTGCATAAAGCATACAAGTCAATGTTTATTTTTATGCAACTTAAATTATAGTTAACGGCCCACCTGATGGAAAGCTTAAATCCACGATTAAATAGTCCACAACTTTGAGTATTCATTTTTTATATTTTTTCACCTAAACGTCTGAGTGTTACCTACTAACTAAATTTAACCTAACGGTCCTCCACCGTGAGTATTACTAGAAACTTTTTGCCACACGGCAAAACCACATTGTGGAGGGGGGAAACGGGATTGTTAGTAATATGGACTGATGATCTTATTCTTTGTTAAGTTGACATCGACGGCGCCCACTGGAAACCATCGTGATAAAATCTTGATGAATTTGTCACTAACTGACCTGACCTCATGCTCATCCTATTATCCTCCACTGGTAGCACGCCAGCGTAAACCGTTAGCGGAGGGAGAGTGCACCATTCCATTATCATCCATAAAAAATTACATTGTCGAATTACCTGTCTGCAATGGTATTTCCATAATCATTCAAGAAATGATCTTATTTCTTTTTAAAACGCTAGCAACGTGAATTACAAAATGAGAGATACACTTTCATCATTCATTTCATTCATAAAAATTACATGTGTATGTTTATAGTGCATTCTCCACTGTTTGTAATTTTGAGTTAGTACAGAAATGTACTAGGTGTAAAGAAATGTAACAAGATTAGAGAAAAAATGGCACTGTGTGGTCGCAAATGTTTGACTGATATTAATGTAAACAAAACGATTATTATAAAAAAATATACACAAAATATAACATATACGAGTTATATAATAATAGGTTATAGTGTAGTAATAGGTTGCAACAATAAGTGTGCCAATTGTTATGCCCTAGATTCAAACTTTATATGAATTTTACCTCAATACACCAAGGTATACCGCACCGTATGATACAGTTAGTATAATTATAAGAGTAAATTCACTCACGCATGCATTTATAATTCAAAAAGTATTTTACACGAAACTGCAATTTTGCAGGCAAATTTCCTTAAGGCGCATAGAAATATAACGAAGTTTCTATATCGATCACAAATCGCGTGAGACTGGTGTTTTTATTTCATATCTATTTATATTCTACTGCAATAAAGTAATGACGCCAGTGAAATTGCAAGGTATACAAGGTAAGCATGATCTTAATATTCCGTATTATCAAGGCATCAGGCGCACCGCGGACGGCACTTGACTCTGAGTTCGTAATGCTTTTCTAGTTGAGCATGTAGACAACTATTGCTATTTATTAAAAGGTATACCATCAGTTTGTTAGCCATTAAATCGTATAAAAAATACCAAAATATTTATTTAACAAATTTTATTTCAATTTACAGTTACACAACAAAAAGAAATATACCAAATGCATAATACCAGACACACTACGTTTATATTAACAGTGTGGTTAATAGTCATATAATAGAATTGTTCTTATTCAACTAGATAACACTACTAGATTAAATAGATTCAAAAAATTTTATGCCGAGAAATACAGTGTGACATTTCGATAAAAGTTAACTAAGTATTACGGTCATTTATTTCTATTTAATTACATTATTTAATAATGATAACATATTTTGTTCAGTTAACCGATAGTCGTTGGATTTCTTTAGATATTGAATGGTTTTATATAGCGTAAAATTATAACTATAAACAGAATATTATAAGTATAATAATAATAATCAGTTATGAATTTATTATAATCGCTTTTGACTAGATCCAAGAATAATCCTGGTGAAATAATTGAGAGTTAAACCGCATTTATATAAGTAAATAAATATCTACTTAACATTACATACCTACTTAAACAACTTTTAATTTTTAACCTAAATAATAATTACATATGTTGCATTTAATGCATATGCATTCAATGCTAATATTAACAGATTAACAAAGAACTTCACATTTTTACGCATTTAATGCAATTTTTAACAAAGAGCTATTCAACACAAACTCTAATTATTGGTTTGGTTTGAATTTTTAAACTTTGGTTTGGAACTGATATAATTATTATTTTGAATAACAGAAATTAATAGACTCTGTTAACTAAAAGAGATAATTAAATTATTATAATGTAGATTCAACCATATAAAACGTTCACATTAAACTACAATCACATGCTCTGTCATTTTAATTTAAAAAATAAAACTGTTAATTAAATTTACAATGCATTACACAATAAAAAACTCTACAATGGTAAAGTTAAACTTAAAATTAATTATTAAAACACATAATATATTCCTGTTAAATAAACTGTAGTGGAAAGTCTGGCTTACACGAAATGCTTATAATTTTCAAGCTCGTGTCATACTATTACACCTGACAACGAATTTACATATATGTATTAATGAAACATAATGACACCCTACCTTCAAAAATATTAACAATAAACAAAAAGGATTTAAAAAATTAGATACTCACATTAGGTGTTCATATAGTTTTTTAACACATGGCTATATAAGATGATACATGCAATGAAATAGTATACAATATACTTGGAGAGTACATTATGGGCTACTATTATTATTCCTCAGAGATTATATGCTTGTAATCTAAATTATGTATGTACCAGAAATCTACAGGTGTCCCAAATTCATAGCAGTTACCTACAAGTTTGTTAACTTGAGCTAGCAATTTTAGTTGTAAAAAATTGCGTTAATTAATTATTTAAACAATAGAGCCAGTCCTTATAACAAAAATATAAGATGTAAATTAGAACAGTCTAAAAAAGACAATAATTTATTAAAATAATCCTTGAGTATCGGATTTGCTGGATTCGATACTCAAGGATATCATTGCTTGCCATCAGGTGGATTGAAGAATTCCCAATGATGGTGATGTATAGCTCTGCTGTCGCTCAGGCCAAACATTAGTAAGCCAGCAACTAAAACTAAAAATATTACCAAGGCCATTTGAACATCTTTTTTATCTTCAGTTCTATTAATATATGCCATAAGAGAGTTGAATATGTTTCTTATAGTTCTGCTTACAGAATTCTGACAAACACGTAGAAATTGTACGCCTGCTTCCGTAATTGTTGGCTCATGTGTTCGTACAGCAGGAGGCACTCTCCGAGGGGAAGGACAAGGTCTATCCTCATCAGTACTAGACTCTGTGTGTGGAGCAGCTGGTTTTCTTTTCACCCGTCTTGTAGGCGGTGGAGGTGACTGTGGATATTGTGAGTCATGGTATTCAGGATACGGCCTATCTCTAAAAGATCTCGGCGGAAAATAAGATGACGAAGGTATTGCAATATCTTGGAGATAAGAATATAACAGCGGTGTCAAGTCGGGTGGTGGTGGTCGTTGTGGGGGCGCAACCGACTCATCTGCACTAGCCGGCCTTGGGGGTGACAAAGGTGATTGTGTTACTTCATTAATGTGTACTGTTTTCGTTTCTGGTTTTACTTCGGGTTGCACCTGTGTAAGTATTTTTTCATCGGTTTTTGTTTCAGATGGTTCGTCTGTTTGTGTTTGTTCTTCTCTGATTACAGTTCTTGGATGTTCTGTTCGTTCAAAAACCTGAGATGGCTGTAGAGTTTGATTAGTAGAAATTTCGGCAAATTTTTTAACAATTTCATCGATCACTGTTTGTGAAAATTCTATACCACTGACAGAAATATGTCCAGATTTAGAGTCTAATTCTGCGACTTGTAATGTCATTCCTTCTATATCTGAAACTAAAATTTTACTTGCTTGAAGTTCAGACACATTGAGTCTCCCAACATCTAAATCTTTTACTTGCAGACGTTGTGTTACGAGATTATCCAATTGAATCTCTCTATTAGAATCACCAACTCTTTCAAGTGCTCTTTCTTCAGAAATTTGTGTAATATGTCGAGGACTTTGATATGTAGTGGGCGTACTTCTTGCTCTTGGCAAAGGTGGTACATCAGGAATTTGCGATTCATCTAAATCTATATGTTGCACTGTTAATGAGGCCTCAGTTAACATTTCATCACGTTCATTAATTCTTGTGGGGCTAGAGACACGTCTTTCTACTAATATAACAGTAGGCGATGTACGCCCTATATTTGATAATTCAGAAATTTTTGGATCTGAAATTTTTAATGACTTTTCAGAACGTGAAGTTGGTCGCGACACACGTGGACTTTCAGCATGTTTAGATTGGTATTTACCAATTACCGAGTCCTCGTCAACGAAATCTTTAAGTGAACTAGACATGGATACATCCAGATTTTCATCCATACCTAGCTCAAAATCTACATCGTCTGGAAGTGGATCTGTTTGAGTCGAGACCTCAATTTCTATAACATCTTCAAATTTTGATTCTACACCTACGTAACAGGGTTGGGATAACTCGGTAAAAAATTCTGTATCAACTCCCGATTCATCTTTATCTTTTTTTTTGCGTTTTGGGCCCCTTGGTGGTCTAGGTGGAGGTGGAAGAGGTCTATCCTTCATCTTACTCACTACTTCACCTGATATTAAATCTTTGTGAATTTCTTCTAATGGTTGCGGTTCATCAATTTCTACATATTGAGTAAGATCAGTACTGAGCGATCGCTTTTTAAAACTTTCTAATGTCATTAAGCTCGTTGAGGACTTCTTCCTCGGAGGGCGATCAGGAATAACAGTTTTAGTACAACCTACTGTATAATATTTACGTTCTGAGCTATTACTTTTTTTTCGTCTAACAGGTGGAGTCTTGCTCTTGGATCTACGGACTGCTTTACTCGGTGCATAAGCGCTCTTATCTACTGTAGCGTATCCAGGGCTCTCATGTCGAACTTCCCTTTCAATTTCAATATCTTCACTCTGTGGTACATGTGTATCCAATGTGAGGGACTCAGCTCCATGAGAAGTGCGGTCGTCGTCACAGATTGAAGTACAGCGTGAACTTCTGGATCTGTTTCTACGAGGCGCTACTGGACTCTGTTCGGTTACAGTGTTCAGTTCCTGTGGTACGATGTATTCATGTTCTGTACGATAAACGATGATCTGGAATTGCATTAATTTTAATATTACTTTATATCTATAAAATATATGTAGATCTAAATTGGTACTTCTAAATCGTAATTGGTGTTATTACGAGTATACTTATGTAATTTACTCAATGTCAATAATGTTAGTCTATTTGAAAAGATGTTTATCTTAGGTTGAAAATTGACTTAGCAAATAATCTTTATTTGCGATTAATTGAGGTATTCTGAATCGAGTAGTAGATAAGGCACTAAATTTTTTTCGTTGTCCCAATATTTTGTGATGTAGTGACATTTTCATGAACTTAGAGTGGCTCTGAATGAAGTGTGATATCGTATCATTGAGCAATGATTTAGTATACATTTTAATAAGTCGTAAATAATTTGTGTAAGTAATATTGACATATAATTAAATAATTATATCTTAGTATATATAAGTAAACATAAACAATATATTAATAAAAACACATATGTAAACATACATCTATATATATATATATCTATACATATATAATAATATATATAATATACAAAGCATTAATGAAGGTTTTTTTTGGGCTAATTAACCCTTTACACTGGAATACTGTGTACTTCACTATGCCTCGGTGGTGTGATGGTATAGCACACCACCTTATTTCTATTGGTCGCGTGTTCGATTACTCGTACGGTCCAAACATTTGTATTCATGAGTATGGCTGTTTGTATTGGTACAAAGAGAGACGATAGAAACAACATCAGAGAAATAATATTTTAAAGAATAATCTTTCGCGTTCTTCCAACAATGATATTTGTATGAGAGCAGCTTATCTAGTGACTACAATACATCAATGATATAATCATGTTATATAGGGTACTTTACAGACTTCTGAATAACTGTCTAATAATAAAACTATTATCTGTCTACCCTTATTTCTGTCCTTGTAGAACAAAAATTACGCTTGATCGAGCCAATGATTGGAACAGCGGTAGGGCATAATTGACTACCTATTATGATTCATTTCTCGGCGTATTTATATTATGACGTGATAGTTTTATTGAATTGACGACCAATATAAATTATGTCGGCGATATTAATAAAGTATAGAATGATAACGTAAGATTTGATTTTGACTGGCCCCCTAAGGTTTAATTGATCTCCGAATGATACAATCATTTGAATTCATGCCTTATGGCCGTGAAGGGATTGTGAAAGAACTGGTAAGAAATACGTTTCAAGGTGTGTATTTTTTTATTCAGGGGTTTGGGCTATTGTCTATTGTATCTTGTGTTAAGAACTGTAGCACTGTGACCTACTCAGATCCATTGTGCTCGCTCCATTTCAAAGTTCGCTTCCTATGCCGATCAGGAACAAGAATTAAAGAATATTCTTAGGAGCAATAGTTTTAATCTCCTAAGGATATATACAGACGAATACTTTCCAAAGAAGAGACTTCGTCTATGCCTGATTGGGCTAGTACCACATAATGTGTGTAGTGGCGTTTCCACATCTGCTTGGTAAAATCTGCAGATTGTTGTTAAGTTGACGCCTAATTTTGCCTTGTTGCATATATGGTATTACTTAATAACAACAGTCTATTGTGAGATTCGAGTACACTGTTATTAGGGCCTTTGAATGTACTAATCCTGGCATATTCTGCAAGTGATTCCGTGCTTTCTGTTTGATTATTATTTAGAGATGTCCCACATATAGGCAACGAGGTACAGAAACTATAACGGACGTTCAAAATGTAACAAATTAAAATTACGTTGTATAAATATTCGGAATAAATATTATTATTATAGAAAAAATATATAAAACTAAAATATCTGAACTGGCTATTTTTATTAGTCGAGGTTCATTTCTAGTAATACATTTATTATGTCTACCAGTTGCTCAGCTAAGTATAGGTCTAGATGGAGCTGTATATTGTATCCGGGTTAGACGGAGGTCTAAAATTACTTTCTGGGGATATGCAGCAGTATGCTCAAAAATAACAACACTGTTCATATTTATCTATCAATTCATTGTTAGCCGCAAATGAGAGTACAGCTGTACCATTTTAAAGCATAGAAATTTCATCATTATAAATTTAAACCTTTAAATCATTAAACATTAAAACATTTTTAGAAGTGTATTTTTCTAAAACTTTATTCTATTCTTATTTAATTGATTTATTTTATTTAAAATAATAATAATAATTTTCACAGTAAAAATATATAAACTAATAATAAACTTGTACTTTGATTAAATTTCTTTTTCTTACGATTTACAATTATTATTGTCCAATCTAGATTTTAGGAAAATTTTCCCTCACTGCAGTAATCCTTATATTTTTTTTATATTTTTAGTTACCCGGTCTGACTATCATAATATACCTATATTATGATAAGTCAATTGATTGGATGGAAAATTTTCTTTTGTTATTTATATACCCATACATTGGAATGTCTATTTGTAATATTGTAATAACCGTTTTTTACTACATGCATATGAATATAACTACAGACACCAAAACAACATTTTTACTGGACTGGAACGATTCTGACTGGACTTTTATTGGCAGGTAGCTGATGTAATAAGGAGTAACTTAGGTTACCTTCTTTTTAGAAAAATAAAGTTAAATTCCACGCGAAGTCGCGGGAACAGTTAGTATGTAAATATATCTATAATGTAAATTTGCTTTTGTTTGGAACTATATATAACGTAGAGGCAGGAAATGAAAGTTTTAATATGAACTGTTTGTGATTTGTAACAAAAAAGAAACTGTTTGTCCTAATTATCTAACATTCATCATCAAATCAGGCCTAACAGACATCCCGAGTACATATAGTATATCTATATATAGTATATCTATCCTGGTTGCTATTAGTTGTTATTGGAATTTATTATATTAAATTTAATACACCTTCAGCGTTTAATTTATGTGTAGAATTATTGTATTTTATTACTGTACTTTTGATATAAAAGATAATATTCTGTACAAATTGTTTGTTTGTTTATAACACTTTATTGTAAGTAGTAAATACGTTTAAAATTACGGGATACAACTAACTTAGGGAATAAGTAGTACAATGGCGGACTTATCCCAAATGAGGGATTTCTTCCAGTCATCCTTTGATTGACTGAAAGGAATTGTGGAGTGGTCGAAAAAGATACAAATACATGACAATACCAACAAAGGAAAAAAGGATTGTACATATTAGGCCTTTAAAATTACCATTTAAAATATATTTTACAATATAATTAAAAACCCGTAAACCTAATTTAATTGTATATTTTTTTATGATTAGGTGAATACGACGTTTGCCGGTTCAACTAGAATACTAATACACAAGTAATTTGTAAAGATCTGATTCAATAGTGTTTACAGCCCTAAATGACCTTGTAACTAAAACATTTCTGACTGACGTCGGACTGCTGACTTTTAAGTAGGTCAACAGTCGAGTTAAAACCAAAAATAATTCAGTGTTTCATACAAAAAGATGTTCCACTATTGGACACCTGCCAACGTCAATTATTTGCATTAATTCACTCTTATTTGACACATATAGTCGATATATCTTTAAATATAGTATTTATTTTTAAGATATAAGATATAAAATAGATATAAAGACTATAGCTGACTTTACTGTTGATGATGACTATTCAGAACAGTGTAAATATGATTATTTCGTATCTTTTATAGCAAATGTTTTCGTTAAAAGAGACCACGCTGTTGCAGGTATTCGGAATAACACTAGATAATAACTTTCTTGTTTATATAAAATGACAAATAATAATTACTAAGGGAAACTTGTTAAAACATATCAGGCAAAACAAAACTACTCTAATTAAAATAGTTAATTCTTTTGTAACCATGTGAGTGAAATAATATGAATACGGTTAATAGTTACAGATGAGATTTTTTTTATTATTAACTGCTTTTAGGGAGTGATTTTGCAATTTTGGGTTTAAGTATTTATTTAAAGCTGGGATCGGCAGATTTGTCTAAATTTGAAAAATTCTAATTGAACCCATTCACATGACACTCAACAGCACTTAATTACAAAAAATTAGACCTTTGTAAGTCTAAGTGAATTATCAGAACGCCTACAACGTAAGAATAGTTATTGATTTTAACTCCCAAATACACATCATATTTCAGAGTATATTTAAGAAGTATGTAACTTAGAAGTTGGGTATGTAAAAATATTTAATATTTATTTTATTAAAATTAATTTATACCAATTAAATGCAAACAGAAATACAAATAAATAGCAGGTAACACTCGCAACATACGTTGCAATTTATTTCTAAATTAAACAGAGCTTTATTTGGGCATTAAAGCTCAGTTGGTAATACTAAATATATTTTTTATGTAAATTATTCTACAATACTGTAATACATACATACATACATACATATACCGAAATATAAAACTCGAGACAGTCTTAATTATATATATAGGTATAGTAAAGAATTAGGGAGGAGATGATCTGGGTTAGAGTTAAATAAAGAATAATAAATAATCGTTTCTTTTGACAAGGAAACTCTAATATGTAAAATATTACATGTTTTTAATTTTTTTTTAATAGAACAGGCTCTTATACCCCAAAAGAGGTTGATATAATAAAATGTTTAAAATTGTCAATTGCATTAGGATACCTCTTGAACAACTATCAGTTTGAGGGGATCTAAATAAATATTCATTTAATCTAAGTATTCGAATTATGTTAGTAGGATATTCGTTAATTAAACTACACATATTTACTTATTTGTGGCATTATTAAACAGTATTGTGTATTGAAATTGACATTGTAATTACAAAATGATAGTTGCATATATGTAGATGGAGTGGTGGTTCTGTTTATTTAGCGTATTTGATTGGTTCGTTTCGTGAACAAATAAAGTTTATAATACGTTCACATTATCTATAATTAAGCAATATTTAAGCTTATTTATAAAACTAATAATATAACGGATCATATCTAAAATATACGAATAATAACTGTATTTATTTTGTATTATACGAAAGACTATTATTATATAAACATTAATTATTTAGGTATCGTTTTATATTATGTGTATGCATGATGTATGAAGATAAAGATACAATTATTATATTTACTCACGTCGTCTTGTTGCTTTTTCGGCTCCTCCCACAAAGCAGCTGAAGATAGATCTTTAAAATCATTCAACGATGAATGCATAAAGTCCTGTTTGGTAAACTTCTTTTTCCTTTTTGGCGGCATGGGCAGAGTTTGTGACTGAATTGGTGTATTCTCTGGATATTCTATTACATCATCATTTGCATATTCATGTATGGAGTGCAAATCTGTTGCCGGTGTGAAATCCAATCGGTTATTTAATTCCATTGTACCTAGATTACCATTAATTTCCTCATTTATATGCTGTTCATCTGGATGTTCATCAGCTAAATCTAAATCTACTTCACTGAATTGCATACTTGCATTAACACTGTCATCTATGTATGGAATTGGCTCTGGCTCTGTCTCTGGTTGCTTTTTCTTTCTTTTTGCTCTTGATGGTCTCACTGGCGGGAATGTATAGTAGCCATCATCTCTTTCATTCAAATCTTCAGTTGAGTATCTCATCTGGTCGTTCTCATCCATAAGCTCAGGGTCTGCTTCTGGTTCATTAATATACATATTTTCATCGTTAACCCCCGTATTGCTCCCCATCATGGCGAGAACATTCTTAGGGATTTTAAAAGCTTGTCGTATTTCATCGCTCAAATATTCTCTCACTTGAATATTTTCACGAGAAATTCCTCTCGGTCGTACAAAAAATTCGTCGTTATCAATTTCGTTAATAACATGTGTGTATTCTTGGTTAGACGGTGAAAAATCAGATATTGATCCATTATGGTTATCGTTGTAAGATTCAGGTTCATTTTGAAGATATTTGGAATCTTCTTTGTTAAAACTATAGTCGATTTCATAATCTCTTTGAGGTTCAACTTCAGTTTCAAAATTAACATCATTATCGACATTACCATATTCTCTAGGTTGCTCTGGGCTATCTGGAATATAAGTGGTACCATCCTTGGGTTTGTTAACTCGTGTAAAAGTAAAAGTTGCAGGAGGAGTGTCTTCTCTATTTAATGTAGGCGAAGATGATGTTTTTTGTAATTCTGATTTCTTTTTCCTATTAAATAGTCTGGGGTATGTTTTAGCTTCAAAGTCAACGGTGGCTACATTATGAAAATCATCACTTGTTTCTGTTACATCATTTTCAACTTTATATTCTTTTTTTCGACCTAGACTTGGAAAATTTATCTTCGGTCTTTCAGGCATCTTAAATTTGGGAAATTCTGGAACATTGAACTTGGATCTTTCCGGAAAAGAAAATTTTTTTCTATCACCGAGGTTCAACTTCTCAGTAATGTTAATTTTTCTTAATTTCGGTCTATCGGGTAAGCTAAACTTTCTTCTATCTGGCAAAGTAAATTTAGGTCGTTCAGGTAATGTAAATTTTGGTCTCTCTGGTAAAGAAATTTTAGATCGTTCTGGCATTTTAAATTTTGGTCGCTCAGGAAAATTAATTTTGGGCCTCTCTGGCATCGTAAACTTCGGTCTCTCGGGCATTATAAACTTGGGTGTTTTTATATTTTGTAATTTCGTTTTTATTTTACCAGCTTGAGATTTTATTTTACTCGTTCCTGCTTTGATGCGTTGCTGCATTCTATTATCAATATTTTCTTTTTTTGACCGGCTATCACGTTTTAAGGGTAGATTTTCTAATGCTGACGAATCTACTTGACTTGTGCTTATTTCACATTCAGTTCTTGAGACCGAAGATGGAGTATTTGCAAAATAACGATCCTCAATATCTTTTTGTAAAGTTTCGGCATTAACAATACCATCAATATTCTCATCTGGAAAATTTTCTTTTTCATCCATTTGCTCATCCTCATCCGAGGTATGTTGTAAATATTTTCGTTCTAATGATGTTGTACTAGACAATTCGTCGTCAGTTTTTATCATCTTTGGTTTTTCATCTACGCTTGGTGCTGTATATATAATATTGGGAGGTGGCTTTTCGATGATTTCATATTCGTGATCACTGAAAAAATATTGCTTATTTAAATAATATAAAAGGTGAGATTGCAAAAATTGCTCAAATAATACAAACTTCGCAAATCCATCATAACAAACAATATATAAACATCGCTTAGCATATAAATAAAGGATATATTAAAGAATATAAAAAATATAAATAAAAAAATAACATCGCAAAATCATCATGAAACATATGACTTATTTTTAAACTTCACATACGAATTATTCGAGTCACAATTAGGCCAACTGTCTGTGCTCGTTTTAGCCTCAGCAGCCGCCGGGATAAAAGCTCGCAGTATAAACGTTCCCCACCTCATAATTTTTGTCATAAAATGTCAACTAAATTATTAAAATTAGAGTAGATAATACATACCTCTCATACGAAATTATATTGCTTGCCCGCGACGTTGGTCTAGTACCCACTGGATTCACTCTTTCCGGTAGCAGCGAATCACATTGAAAAAATTGACAACCACACCTTACTTCCGGCGTGTAAAGTTGTGCACTCCCTTCCCTTGTCGGCCTCACCGGTTTTTCTATGGGAGTTCCGCCTTCGGATGTCCATCGCCGAAGTTTACTCATAACTGCTGACTACCGAAAGGAATTCGAAATCCAAGGCATGCTTAATTGGTGTAGCCCATTAACTATACATGTCGAATAGACATTTGCCCAGAGACAATGAGTCATAAAACGTGTATGTGAAAGCCGGATCGTAAATGAACTAATCACTGGCGTGAAAGCAGCCGCGAGCACTGATCACTGATGACAATTTTAAAGATCTTACCCAATGTACAGGAAGACGTTTCAGACGATGCTATATTTATCAGGCAGTCAGAAACTAGCGCGTTCGCTTTGCATGTGTTGAAACACAGCTGTTATGTCATGCTTACGCATGATATATACTTATACACTACAACGAAACACAATAAAAAGAATGTAATATATTTACCTGCTGGGTTTAGACCATTCTTTTTCGGAAGGTTTTTCTCTATTATCTCGCGGACTTGGGGTAGGAGATGATTCTATGGGAATAGTAGTGGTTTGTTCAATGGTAACTTCAATGTCTTCGTCTATGATTTCTGTGATGGTTATATTTGGTGAGTCATTTTTAGGTCTTGCCTCATCCAATTGATTTTGAAATATTTCATCTACGTTGGGTTCGTCCGGGTCCATTTCGTCATCTAACAATATTGCTTCTTTGTTAATATCACTATTTTTGTGTAATTTTTCCATAATATGATCCTCAGATTTCAGTGAAGTCTCCTCGGCTACTAGGCTCGGATCATGGGATGTAATAGATTTTCTTTCTGAAAGACTTTCATTTTCCTTGTTACTATTACTTCCTATTTCTTCTTCTGATTTATTTTCCTGCTTCTCCACTTCAGGTGAAAAATGAAGAGATTTTTCGGTGTCCTGAGATCTGGACTCTTCTATATCCTCATATATATGTTCTCTTTTTTTTCTTGGAGGTGGTGTATCTATGCTCAATGTTTTACTCATTTCGTCAGAATCTCCTAATTTTATTGCACTGAACTTTTGTCTTCTCACAGCGCCTGGTGATGATTTTAACTGCCTTATCTCTTGCGAATCGTCATTTTTCTTTCGCTTAGCAATGGGTGACTTTTCGGTTTCATTTCTTTCTAACTTTTGAAGGGTTTTGTCTGCTAAGTGTTTTATTTTATTCACTAAAGGATGACAACATTTAGTTTTTTCTCGAGTTTCCGAGATACCAATATAGGTTTGTTCTGGTACGCGACGCTTTAATATACTTTTTGGTGAAACGTTTTTGGGTACATCTACTGGCGTTGCTAAATGTGAACTTGCCTGACTTTCAGGTCGACTAATCATGTATGCTTGAACAGCTTGGTTTATGACATCTTCCTCAGAGTCCAATGAAACTTCTTTTGAAAAATTGGGTACATGTATACCTTCGTCATCACCTTCCCCACCATGTTTCCGACTGCTTCCTGGGGAGGAATCAAGATTTAAAATTCTTTGAATATCCCCATCAACAGGCGAACGTGTTCGTGATCTCGATATTTCGCGAGACATTATGTTTTTCTTTGGTAATATCTTCAGCAACGATCTCGGTTCTTTCTGGTTAGTGATGTTTTGAATAGACGGGCCAAGGATATCCACCCGGTTCACGAGCTCTTCTCAAATCGTCCCATTGAAAAGTTTTCGCGGCTTTTCTTTTTATCTGGTAACAATTGGGGTTTAGTATGTTTAATTAAGAAAATTATGAACAGTTTTTGGAAGTATAAAATATTTGTCGGTGCACATCCATAGATTATTATCTATCTTATATATTTTATGTGGCAATTATTGCCACCTTTTCTAATTTATGTCTATTCCCACACGGACCCAACAATGTTATCACTATTTCACCGCTAAACTAAGAACACAACATTTCGTTTCAATGTGAGCATCAGCAACTGAAAACACGGTGTGTTTGCGTGGGCTTGTGTGGAAATAGGTGTGAATTAGTCGTGTACTGTGATCACTGCTTAACGAATTATTTTTGAGTAGTGCAGCGGCATTACCTTGAAGCGTTTAGAACACTTTCCCCTCGAGAGCCCTCATGTCACCATCCCTCAATATTTATTGTTTATAAAGAGGGGCACATAGACGCCGTTTAATGTTTTCAATTAGAAAATGATCTGTGATCGGTACAAAATCTCCGTTCAACTGGCCAACACGTCGTGATCCGAGCAAACGTGCTAAATATAATACTGAGCGTGGATTTATTTTCGGTGAGCGTTTCGCGTCAGCGTATAACTGCGGACCGATCGTTTTGTTATGAAGTAAACTGGATATTTGGTAACCAGAGATGGAAACTTCAGTACTTAGTATATATTCGTGGAATAGATTCTATATTCTCCTCAGAAGTTAGTACATATGGGATAATGTATAAAAAATGCGTCCGTTCCCTTGACCGAAGTCCAAGATGCAATGCGATCGGTTTCGACGTCGATGCAATCCTGATTTATTTATTTGCACTTAATCTTTGTACGATATATGCTCACTACGTATATTATTGTAAGTTACAGTATCTTTTATACATACGTTATCGACATCCGTAAATGTTACATAACTGTTGTACTTATCATATTACAAATATACAGTAGTAATTTTTGAACCAAAATCTAATAACATGGGGCATTTAATTTGTCTTACCAGTTTTTTAGACTTACTAACGATGACTATCGTTGCTAATGATTAATTGATTTTGATGATAATACTTATATTCAAGAAAATGTTCTGCTTTTCAAAACAATCATTGATATCAGATATAAATTTAAATAAAAAACTTGACATAAAAATAATATTTCAAAAGTAATAAATTTGTAACAGTAAGTTGAATAATAAGAACAAGTCATGTTGTTAATAAACAAAATATTAAAATAGTAGTAGTACTTATCCATTAGAGCAATGTAGATTTATTACGCACATGTATTGTTACGGGAAACATCGACAACTACAATAAAAAGCTTCGTAATACGCAAATTGATTGTACTAAATCAACAGCGTATAACATCCGGCCATAGCAGTAAAATATAAACATATCAATATTTAATTATGTTTGTAAATTAATTGTACCACAACCTTGTGCCCCAGTAATTTACTAATCATACTTACATCGTAAATTAGTGAGTTCTAATTTTTACAAAAATATGTATTTGAATTTATACTTATATACATCTGGCTCAATGATGGAAACATCGATAACAAATCCAACTATGCAACTAGAGATGGCATAATAAAAAATAGTTAATTATGTAGTGCATACATAATACAATTTCTTAGTATCTGCGCTCCCAGCCCTCTCGATACAGGTTTGTCCTAGTTTTGGGACTACTGATAACAGAAATTAAATTTCAACGTAATAAATAATTCATATAAAATTATATCTATGTTCTAAGTATAAATCATTACATAGTATAAATCGCTGTCTGTCCATCCCTATGTACGCTTAAATCTTTAAATTTACGCAACGGATTTTGAAGCAGTTTTTTAATGGATATAGTGATTCAAGAGGAAGGTATAAACCTGTATGTATGTATGTATGTATGTATAATACATGTACACCCCCGAGCGAAGTCGGGGTAGGTAGGTAGTAAATAAATAAAACAATGTGGACGAAGTTGATAGTCGCCTAAATATGAACATAGTCATAACCTGTCACATCTCTTCACCTTCCATTACCTTCAGGCTGGCAATTATTCAAAGGAACTCGATGTAAATACTAGACCACAATAGACGCTAAATCTCCGACTACCCCATGTTGGCGGACAGTAAATATATTTTATTCTTAATTAAATATACTATAGAAATACACTTAATTTAAGAATTTCTAATTAGTAGATTTTTTTATTTTACCACTAATTTGGAATACAGGTTTAGACTTAAGACTTCAGTTTACTCTTCAGAATAAATATTGATCTCCGCATTTTTATGATTTTAAAAACTACCCAAATATTTTAATACTATAATTTATTAAACTTATGAAATTATAGTATTAAATTAATTAGTTGGCTACTTGAATAACAAAATAAGTCAGTCATGGTAATCAGAGCAGACTGGGCCCTAGAAACAATTTAACAAGTTAATTGTGCTAAGATATTTAAGTGACTATATATCGTATTCCATATAAATACAATGTATGGAAGTCGCTTAAATATCTTAGCACAGTGTAACATTACAACACATTACTGTATTAAAACAGCATAATTTAGAAAAATGAAGGAATTAGGACTGTGCCTTAAAGAAAGTATTTAACATGAATGTAGATGGTTTGGATGGATCCAAAGACGACCGAGGAAACGATAGACAGTAGAAAAATAATAGAAGACATAAAAAAAGAGTAAACTTACATATGACGGCTGATACATATGACGGCGAGTCCAGGGAACGAAGATAACAGAATGGGATAAATGTAAGGCAATGATAACTTAATTATTTTAAATACTTTAGTTGAAGTTAGAAAAAGGTTTAGAAATAAAACAGCAAATTCAAGGCTCAAGGCAAGTATAATATATTGCAAACATAATTTACAAAAAAAAAATACATACATGCTCTACAAGGGTATAATCGTAATTTATAGGATTTGAAGTATTTATTTACAACTGTATTGTAATATCTAGGCCTCTTATCCATTACCTACACTTTCAAATAAGCAATCAGATTAGTGGCAACTATGTTAAACGAGATATAATAATATACATATACATGCAGTAACAACAAAACAAATTGCTGCATCCTAAAACATTTCACTGTCATCCTGCCTTACACCTGAATATAAGAGGCACCGGTATAAAATCGTTATAAACACTACTTCATCTAGTGATCCATCTGGTTAGACTAATCAAGTTTTAATCATCCTGAAAATTAACGTCCGAAGACGGAAGTAATGTCCATATATATTGTTGGTAATGAGATTATCTCAATAGGGTTTTGAAAAAAGTTGACAATAATTTTGTACACATTATTAATTATTTTGTAGAAATAATTTATCATTATGTATACCGTCTTTTCGACACATTTGAATTAATATGCATATTTGCAAGTAGGTAAATTGCATAGTACCACAATGCAGTATAATTCGCACAAATGCACGAGGTACTAGGAAAACAGAATCATTCAAGAGATATCAACAAACTTATTTATAATATAAATAAATGACATTGTATGTTGTTATCTGTTTAAAGTCACAACTTTGTTATCTGTTATTATGTAATTAAGTTGCCACCAAATACTGATATCTTATTTTGAATACTCTTTTCGTTGACTTTCTTCAGGTTAACTTTCCAATAAGTAAAACGAGCCACCCACTTATTGCAGATTTTTATATTGGAATGCCGATTAAGTTCTTAACAGTCACAGGTAGTAGATGATAGTCCGTAAACATTCACCATTGCCTGTAAATATTGACAAAAGCCCAGATTACTTACATTACAGTAAAGTTATGTGAGTAACGTGTTCCTATACTGGAGGCCATTATTCCATCATTATCTCATCTCATATCAGATCAGTCACATCACAGTCGTACAATGAAAGCTAAGCTAAGCTACTATGTGAAGTGTGTCTAATTATTTACTGTTAACTATATTTTTATATTATATTAAACAAATTTCACAAAGGAGTATCTCGAAGTAAGAAAAGAATGCTTGTATTTTATGTAGGCAATAATTTTGAGATATCGACTAATTTGTTAATAAAAACGAAAATATCGACATATCTATTTAAATCTACAAGAAGCGTGTGGCCCGTTTCTGCGTTAAAGTGTACAAATACACATAATGTTTAAGTAATATACATATATATATAACTTAGACCAAAATTTTGATTATGAAAGTAGGTACATGTGTGAGATATATAATGTGACATTACACTTACAATTTAGTAATTGGAAGAATTAGGACCTGTGTCCACATATAATATAATAAAGAATAGTACATATATATAATTGAAACGTACTTTCATAGAATTAAATCTATAAATAAGTATTATATAATTTCTGCATATAATTACAATTATTCTGTACACAATGTTCAAAATAATTAACTTTTTTTATGGATATACCTACCCACGTACGGACCAATTGTAATATATACAAAAACAGCAACGAGCTGGAGATATAAGTACATTATATTTATTAATATAGTATACTTATTTATATCTGTATATATTTAAGTTATTTTGTGATGTATATATAATATAATATTTCTGTAACTTTAACATTTGATAAATAGAATATTTTAAAACTCCTTATTCATAAAAACATGAAATGTTTCTTCGAATGCTTTCTGTGAAAGTAGCTATAACAAGTAATTAATTTGTAGCTAGTAGTATGTTTTAGTTGTTAATAAGGTGGTTATATAGCTAACAATTGAGATTATAAAAATAGACATAGTAACTATTTCTTGTTTCGAAGTTATCACAATTGTGAATACAAGAACAGTATGTGAGATATAGTAGATAAAACTGAGCAGTTATATATATTTATAATGTCCACAAACATAACATTTCAATATTGTATAGCTATTTCTTATGTCTACTAGTACATGCTGAGAAGATGATGGTAGCTTAAAACAACCCTTACTCTAAAATGTTTCCATTCTTAAAATCATGTGTCTAAACAACGTTATTATTAACAATCTTCTTTGAAACATTTTTTTATCAAAAGAATGAGTAACTCAAAGCAACAATTTATAAATTTAACCAAGACTTATGAAATTAAACTAATTAACCAATAAATAATTGAAGCTGTAGAAAATTAACAGTTACAGTAGCAAAATGACCTTTGTGACCTTCTGCACACTACATCATTCGGAACACAGTCACAAACTCTAATAACAAACAAACAAATTCTAATAACACAAACAAATTCTAAATATGAAATTAAAGTACGAAAGATATGATATACTACTCCTCTGGAATGGTAACGCATGTGTGTTGTCGCGGGTGTCACATGATAACGTGATATTCATGTATATACACTATAGTTACTATTACTTAGTCTGTGAGCTTGTTTTCTTTCCAATTACATTTAAAAAAAAACTTCGTACCACTGAATCACAGTCAAGTCTATGTATATAGAAGTTGTTTGTAGTAGTACTTTAAATATGCTCGTCGCTTGTAAATGACAGCAGTTACCAGGTCTAGCAGTTAACACTCCGCCTTACTTCTTATGGTTACGAGTTCAATTCCTCACATCATTTATTTGGTGTCAGAAACTTTGTATTTATTTGGTGTAAGCATTTGGGTGCTTTCTACATATTATGTGTATGTATTTACAAAAATATATTTAAGTATTTATATCTTTTGTCTGGTAATTATTGTGTTAGTGTGTAGTGTGAGTTCTGAGATATTAATAGCATATTTATTAATCTCATCTCTGCATTTAAATAACCGTTATTTTGACATAGAGACCAATTTTTTATACGAGTTTACATGAAATCGTAAATTGTCGTGTCGACAAAACACAAACATTACTAGATTTTTTGAAATATTAGATTATTATTTTATGTGTAACGAATAAAAAAAAAGAAACTGATTCCTATTAAGAATCTTGGATCCAAATTAATTATAAAATTATTATACATATCTTTTTAGATAAAGAGGACAAACGAGCCTTCTGCTTACACAGGAGACATAGAGCTTGCGGCTCACCTGACGGTAAGTGATCACCACCGCCCATGAGCACCCGCACCACCAGGGCAATTGCTAGTGCGTTGTCGTATCGGTTCGGAAATACCATTACTGGAAGGTGATTCCACAATGTGGTTGTGCGTGGCAAAAAAATTATAGAAAGCCGCACTGTGAAGGACCGCCATTCATCCAGTTGATCAGGGTGGTATATTAGTTTCTGGCGGATGGTACGGTGGTGAAACTCAGCAGCTGGTATCGATCCGAACAACTCCTCAGACAACTCTCCATGATATATGCGGTAGAAAATGCATAAAATATGTAATGTCTCGCCGCAAAGCCAATGGGTCGAGTCGTCGAGTCAAACTCGAGTCGGTCGCAAAGACGTTGTTTACTGTTGACAATGAGTCTCATCGCTCAGTTCTGAATGCGATGAACTGGAAGTAACTGGTATTGTGGCAATCTCCCCCTCCCCCCTCCTCCCACCCCCAGCTGGTAATAATATTCATGAATAAATGTCATAAATAAATTAAAAATAAAAAATATTAAGTGATACGAAGTTCAGCGGGTCATCTAAAAATGACTAAGTGACAATTACAATTGCGATCTCAAGGCCATAGGTCTAAATTGTAAAAATATACATGTATATATGTTTGCGTTTGGGTTTGCGTACGTATGAGTTGTTGTGGTAATTTTGTGACACGTTAATTTTTTTCTTCAATAAGGTACAGTCTCATCTGTGCCACTAAATTATGTAATGTGTTATTATATTAGAAACATTGCACACCTAGTACATTATTGGATTTACGCAACGATTACAAACGAAAATTTAATTCTAAAACTTTCACTTCAAAGTCTATTTTTATATTTAACCTGATATTCTACTGGGTGTGCGATATATAATTAAATTATTAACATCACAACTGTCATTATATAAATAAATATACTTGCTCGAAAATTTCGTAGATAAGTATAGATAGATTTAGCAATTATTAAAATTAAAGTGAGGAATATAGATCTAATATTTCTATACATATCATAGTGTATTATAATTCAGTTCATTTATCAATATTTTAATTTGAAATTTTTAATATACATTTATACATATGTATAGATAACATTATCATTAGTGTTGTATAGTCCCAGAGTATACCTACTTTCTAATAATAGAGTTGTCAATTTACATTATATATATAATTAAAGTAATTTTATAAATAGAATAGTTAATATATTGTTTACACTTAAGCGAAATTGTTTATACATAAATCTTAAGGATAATAATAAATCAATTCCGTTGAGCAAGAATATATTAGATTAGTCTTTGGCTCACTGCTGCCCTCAGTTTAGGTGCAGAAAACTCTCTAAGTCTCACTTATATTATCGTTCATCACAATATTCTTAAAAATGCTCTCTTCGTTAACATTCGTATATTTACAATACGGTTATGAGAAAATTATGAGCCCACAAATCGCGAAGACGCTAATATTTTCTTTGTTAAAGAAATTTTTATGCCAGTTCTTCTGAATTGAATCTGTACCCTCAACTGAATTTGAGTTCAGCAGCGTGTAAAATGTATTATCTAATTAAATGGTTTTATTTGATTTATTACAGCGTGGATAACTAATTCCCGATTTTTATCTGTTTATGGGTCACAAAAATAATGGTATGTCGTCGGTCGAAATAACCTATTAGGTACATTTTGAAACTCCTGCTATAGAGAATAAGCTATTATTAATTAACTCAAGAGATCATATTCTAGATTTATAATTTAAATTATATTTACTATTAAGTCATCTATAATAAAATTATAGACGATAAAATATTACTTGAGGAAAGTTTTATTATTGTGTTAATTGAGCGTTATCGCCGTACAATAATGGGCTATCTTGAATGTCTTCGCGATTAGTGCAGCAATCATAAATCGAATATTAAATGCCCTTTTCCAAAATAAATTACTTTCAGATCATTATTACAACACTTCCGAAGTATATAGTTTAGTATAGTATATTTATTATATATATATACTTTACCTTGTTCTTTTTTTTATAGTTATAATATTACAGAATGAATCCATTTAACATTGAAATTTTAAACACCTTTGAAAATTGCACATACATGAAGACTAAATAGATGTTGCTTATTAATGAGGACACATTTATTAACAATGAATTTTTTTTTTATTTGTTTCTTGTATTTTTTACTTTTTTTTTTATTTTCATACAATACAGCATTTAATTAAAATAACTTCACTTCTCTGTGGATTTATTTAATGTCTATAATCTGAGTAATAGTTTTTATTAAAAATAGAATTTAGCTTTAGTCAGCATCATATCAGAGGAATTAAACATTCATTTTTATCAGATTATATTATAATATTATTAAAACACTTGCACATCGAATCATCACTAATTAAATTTCTTCCTTAATTACGCCACAAGTTCCTTAATACCGTATTAGTTCTGAGTCTTTACTGTATCTCTTTGATGGCACTTTTTATACACAACCGGATTCAATATATCATTGCTGAATATTGGGTCGTTAATATTATAATATAACTTGTATAATGAAACCAAGTAGTTATAGCAGAAACAGTCAACTATATTTAAATATTCTCTAAACAAGTGAATTATGAACGTATAAACTATAGTGAAATGTTTGTATAGAATGGAAATATATCCTTCAATAGTTATCATATTGATCTATTACAACAATTAGAACATTTTCTACATGAAAAACAATTAACACACTACGTCACGCCGCGTTTCGTTTCAGCATGTTTGACACATGTATTTTGGTGGTCACGCAGTATAATATTAATATTGAAATTTGATATAGTTCATTTATTTAATAATAATACATACTAACATATAGAACATTGTAACATATATTTGTAACACTATATCAAGAAATTTAAAACATTTACCTTAAGTTCTAGTCATTATTTAATCGACATTGAATAATTCATATGATTATTTATAATTAATAATACTGTGAATAACAGTTTAAATTGAAAGCATTAACAATATTTCTGTTCATTTAAACTATGATCACGTATATGTGTAACATCAATTGAACAATATATGTCTAACCATATAGAGTAAATATATTTCTTTAATTATCGTATTACATGAGATTAAGAATCAATCAATGTATTATATTATAATAACTACTAATTAAAAGCGTAAATACGTTTGCGTGCTTCTATATAAATATAATATGTTCTCATAAAGATATTGTGGGTAAATATAGTCTGTTATACCTTATTACTAATAACAAGATTATAGTTCTATTAATTAATCTTCTTCAACGGCTGAAACTTAATAACTAATATACTTATTATATGTACTGCATGAAAAGCAGCTAGATTATCTAGATATAGTCCATAAAACTCTCACTATTTTAAAGATTTCATAACATCGTTGCTGATACAATATATTTATAAGCGAATACAAGCTATATATTTTTTAACAGAGCAAGAGCAGTGTAGAAAAATATAGTTTGAACAATAATAATTCACTTTTGGCCATCGGCAAATGAGACGGTTGCGACACGGCATCATTCTCTATTCGCGGGAGGCGCGGCGGGAGCATTCGGGTCCTGGAAGTGATGACGTACCTGAAATTATTAGCAATATTTTGATGTTAAGGTTAGGGCAGGACTTGTATCCATAGCCGTAAAATATATAAGTAAATAAAAAATAGTTCATAGTTCGAATTCAATTATTATGTATTTTCTGAACATGTCTACTTTAAAATTGATTCCATGAAATTGCATCAGATCGACCAGTACGAGTGAAAAAAGAATGAAGAAAACTTGTGCTATTTATATTTTACAGTTTCTGAAGGTAACTTTAGTCGAGTTACTGCCAAACACAAGCAGTGTTGCAAGTTTATGATTTTTAATACAAATGTAGGAATATTTCGTCATACCTTTCTTCAGATTTAATTTAATTTTATTTTAAGTGATACGAAGTGTAGCTATTAAATATTTATTATATAATAGGTACTTAAGTAACAAAATATTATACATCTATTTGGCAGTTTGTATTCACACGACATCTTAATATGTAATGCTGACCAACATTTATTTAAAAGTGCAACTCGCAAGTTTCATGCTTGTTATTGTTGCGATGAGTCTGCTTTCCGAATGAGTGATGGATCCAAAAAAATATTGCATGACTATTCAAAAGTGCTCATATTAAGTGCTGATAACAAATTATTTCTATTTCTCATAAAAATAATCAAGAAAGGGACATCGCTTTCATCACAACAACTATGAAGTAGGTATGAAAGTTGGTAGAGACGAAAGGGCGGATAACAAGTAGTAAAATATAAGTGTATTACTTGTAAATGACTGGCCAAATCCATCACAATATGAAAAAGTGCGGGATGTCCGAGTAGTTCTTCAGGGAGCGGCGGCGCGGCTCGTGTGTGGCATGGATGGTGTTCGAACGCCCGGTGCGTACGTATGATTACCTCGCAGAATATGAACCTCAACACCAACAGTCGTAGGAAGTCGTCGCCCATAAACGGCATATACCTCTCTGGAATATGAATGACACTGCTTTTTAACGGCGACTTATTCATACTAATATAAATACTAAAGTAGGTGTGTCTGTCCATTTGTTATCTAATCACGATTAAAGGTTGAAAAGATCTTAATGAAATTTAACTTGAATGCCATATACCTATATTAAATAATTTTTATATTAAAATAAGCCGATTAAGTCGCGGCCATTATTTAGTAGTCCACATAATAAAGTGTATTTTGTAGCTACTGTTAAGTGTTTTTGTTTAGATTTTTATTTTGGCGTTTTTCTTGTCAATTATAGTCTATATTAGCCTTCAATATTTATTATAAAAGTTGATAACTGAGAACATTTTTAAAATGGATTAAATGGTTTTTGAGATCATCCACCACAAATTATTCTTCTTTATAATACTGATATAATACCAGATTGGATTTAAGAAGAGAAACATTACCTAAGCGGCTCCTGGTGACTAGTTGGGACGCCTCAGCCATGAATGTGTCAATATAATTCTGAGCACGATCCCAATGCACCAGATGCAGTTCGTGGATCTGGCAGAAGTAGCAAAAGGCCGAGAGCGGCGAGTGCAGAAATAGAGTGAATAAGCTGCCTCGTTCCCCGCGATCTGTAAACACATTATACAAATGCAAATTAAAATATTAAAGGCGGATTATTCGCGGATTGTTGTATGCACGAATATATCAAAAATGTTTGTATAAATATTTTATGTTTTTTCAGTAATAGAAAATATTTTATACAAATACAGTCGTCACAAAATTTATCAAAGGTAGACTGTAAACAGTCGGCGTGGGTCACTCTCATATATTTCTCTTGAAGCTTGGTTTGTAAGTTCTGTTTCAGGGGTCCCAGACTAATACCAGCACTCATATTCATGAGTATAAGTTGTATTCTGCGAGGAATCGAACCCGCGACGGTTGGCTGTGAACACCAAGGGTTTCGTTTTTATAGTTCTGTTTCTAGTTCGTTTTATTACGATCATTTGTTTACTTCCTTCATTTTACATGACATTTATTTGCAATACTATAAATCAATTTCCTATCTATAAAGACATCAATATGAACCCTTTAAACTAACCTACAACCTATTACGATAGTTAAATATGTAGATTGGCGATGCATGTTTGATAACATGTACCCAATACTGCCAAATAATACTACACCGTTACTGCAACACACGGTAAGGTAAGTTATACTAATATCTTCTACGTAGTCAGATAAACTTTGCACTTTGAGATGTATCAAGAGTTTCGAAAGTCCTGCGGTAGTACGAGAAATCAAGTTTCCAGTATTGCTGGCTAGAGATAAGCTAGACGCTGCACCTGTGTGTACATACATTTGCAGTGCTAGTCTAATCAATTTCCGGTGTAAGTCTATTTATTAGTACCACAAAAAGTTTCGATTTCTATCGTTGGCGCAGTTAGGTTGCAATGTTTATTACGGAGTTGCTGTGTTTACCATCAGGTTTCATCATTTAATTAGATGATTCTGGTGATGTACCGGGTATAAATATGAAACCGGACTGATTTTTGAAAAAATGTATCGTTTAATACTCGAGACACATAAGGGGGATTTTAAGGCAATTTTCGAATTACGCGACTGAAGAATTCTTCACCTTTTGATCCGAACTAATTTTCAACCCATTTTGACACTTCTTGAAAATTGGCGAAGCGGTGCTCAGACAAAGCGTGGCCCATTGATGCGAAAATATGTTAGTCGGATGGAGCAAGGTCTGGAGAGTAGGGCGGGTGGGGTATGATCTTCCAGCCGAGTCCTGCGAGCACTTCTTTTTCGCTTTTATCCTGTGAGCCTGTACGTTGTCGTGTAGCAAGATTTTACCCTCGTGCCTTTCGTGCCATTCCGGGCGTTTTTCAAGCAGAGCTGCGGTCAAACCTCTCATTTGTTGTTGATAACGAACCTGGTCGACCGTCTGGCCAGGCTTGAGCAGTTCGTAGTATACCAGACCCTTCTGATCCCTAAAAAGGCAAAGCATGGTCTTTTATCCGAAACAATCTTGCTTTAGTGCCGATTTCACCGAAGTACCTGGATCAACCCAACCTCTATGTCGTTTAGGATTCTCGAAATAGATCTACTTTTCATCTCCAGTCACAATCCGGTGCCGAAATCTTTTTCCTTCGAACCTGGCAAGGAGCATCTGACAAGTGGTTTATCGCCACTGTATCTGTCTTTCACTCAATTCATGTGGGACCCACTTCCCGAACTTTAGAATCTTTCCCAACGCCTTCAAGCGTTACGAGATGCACGGTTAGGTCACGCTGAGCTGCTTTGCAAGCATCTTCTGTGTCTGACAAGGGTCTTCTGTAAGTAGCGCTTGCAGCTCTTCGTCTTCGAACTTTTTTGAGTGCCCTTCCACGCGGTTGGTTCGTTACCTCATGCTGACCCGCTCTAAACTTCTTGAACCACTCAAAACATTGTGTGCGTCACAGGGCATGGTCGCCGTAAGCTTCCACAAGCATTTGGTGACCTTCCTCGGCGGTCTTGTGTAAGAAAAATAGAACAGAAGATTTCCCCGCTGAACTTCACTTAACGGCACGTAACCAGCCATTTTCGGCGGTAATTTTAAAATGATCCAATTGCAAAAGTGGCGGCTTTTTGATTGGAACTCATAATAGGATTCCTCAACAACAACATACAATAAGCTTCAGCACCGTAAGTAGACCACAGCGATTTTGGTGGCACTTTTAAGAAAAATCCGGTTTCATACTTATACACCTTGTGTAAATAATATACTAGAACAATCATTAAAGGCACTACAACAGTCACATAACATATTTCATATTATTTTTTTCATACAGGAATATCACGACGACAATACAACGGTTTGAACTTACATAATAAAAATATGTTTTAAAAAATTGAGAAACATATTTTAGCATTTCTTCTTTTATAAATGTATATAGCGAAAATTATCCTGTGTGACTGATTTTGTATTCTACTATCATATTTAAAAAAATAAAAAATACATTTCTAAAACAACTGACAGAAATACGAAATATTTTTTTTTATTTGTAATATACGGGGATCGAACCCACGACTATTGAAAGAAAGTTAAATCTTTAATATATGTGTAGATTTTTAGTTTAATGACTGACTTACCACGAAAAGGTGCTGGGAACTCCGCAGGGGACATCAAAACAACAAGAGGTTGACCAAAGAGTTGTGGTAAGTTTTGGAAGACGTAAGAGTTATCTGAATCAATGATCAGAAACAACGGTCTCCTGGTAAATGGGAACAGGTCGCCTGGATGCAAACAATGGCTCTCCTTGTGCTTCGTGGTTGTTGGAGCTTTCGAATCCCTATTCGATTCCCGGTAAATGTCATTCTTGGATGTCGTTATTAAACCGCCAGCGTCATAGCCACCTATGGAAAATGTATTATTGTTAAAAAATATTGTTACCAGGTATGTGTACACAAACTGCATGACATCATAATGTCCGTTGAGGGGTGGTCCTCGTGCGTTGACATTGTAGAGGACTGAGAAGTCTTGGCTACCATGTAACAATCATGGCTATAGCATGCTGCATTTTATTTGCATTAATACTAAAATATATAATGTATTACCAGGCTCTATTAAAGAACTAAAATTTCCAAAATATCAATCCACTTTATTTAAGGTACTTGCAACCATTGTATGACGTAAAGATTTATTTTTACATATATCGTGGAGACTAAACAAGCATACAACATAAACAACCGTCTGATGGTAAACGGTTACCGTAGTCTATGGACGTCTGAAACTCTAGGGGGGTCACGTGTCGACCGACTTTTAATATGCCCTTTTTGAAAACCCCATGCTGTAGTCTTTAGACAAAATTTCGGTAGGTAATTCATTTCACAATTTAAGTGTACACGAGAGCAAACTCCTCTGAAACTGCACTATTCGAGATTACTTAGGTTCCAATGACGAATTACCTGTCGACAGCGACGCGGGCGAGCTTTGGTTATTATTGATCTTTCCATCATTAGCGAGTGAGTCAGAAATACAATAAGTTATGGCATACTGCAGAAACGAACAGACACACTTTGCTGCAGTTGTCAATGTAGTTGATTAACAACTACACCATAATGCGCTGTAATCGACATTAGAATAGAAAACCGATTATTCTGACATACGTACAACATAATACTTACGTGTAATTATTATAATAATTATAAATATCCCTGAGTAATTCACATAGCACCATCTAATCACAAGTTAATCAAAGCTTGAATTATGGATACTAGACAACACAAATAATTATTTTTCTAAATACATATTTTACGTAGTATATATAGATAACATCCAGACATACATATTCATGAATAAAAATATTAGTACTTTGCGAGGAATCGAACCCGCGGAAATAAAGAGGAATGCTAAACGCCAGCAAATTGCCAATAAAGCAATGTATCAAATGGGATCCTAGTCATAAAATAAACTAACATGCACAGGCTATCTATTACTGAGTATAATCTCAGTCATTTCCAAATATAGCTCGAGCTAGTTGGTCCGGCGAACTTTGTACCGGACTTAAAATCAATAAATGTCGTTTTAACTAATCGCAATAATTGAATGTAAAAGGATAAAAGATTTAAAAATATGGCTGGCACAGCACGATTCCCTCATCTGAATCATCGGTGCCTTTAACATCAACACATGCAACGCATACAACATTATATCAATTATGGCCCGTTTCATCTATCGTATACCACGTCGTATGTGATCGTTCTGTAGGAATTTAGGATTTCTGTTGGATTTTATGACTGTTGCAACGTGCGAGGACAACTTCTTGAGGACAATACAAACATAAAAAATATTTTTAAAACCACAAAGCAATTGTTTTTTAATACATCAGCGAACGTCACTACGCACTGATGTACAATGAAGAAGTGTTGTACAATAAAAACTTAATAAAAGTCGCTTTAAATTGTAGAACAGTATAAAAAAGCTACAATGATCATAAGAAATTAATTAGTACAATGGCGGACTTATCCTATAAGTCGGATTTCTTCCAATTAACCTTTGATGGACTCGAGCGATTGTGGAGTAGTGAAATCAAAAGTTTATAACTGAACACAAGAATATCACAAGGGATAATCATAGATGAATTTATCGAGAAGACTTATACGTTTATATAACTCATAACTATTTTTGTGATCTTTATGTATATATGCTTATAATATGTATAATACAGCAATTTATCCTGAAAGAATGTACCGTATAGAGAGTGAAAGAATTTCTCAAATCGCTGCAATGGTTTCGGAGTTTATTATTGTACTTCTTGTGAGGACGAGAGCTTCAAGTTTTTAGACACTATTTTATAAGTATTTTTTTTTCTTTCGAATGGTGTAATAAGCATAATGGTATATTTAAAACAACAAACATATCAAACGTGTAATAACGCTACAACGGACAAAAGTATATGAAATTAAATAATTATAATTTGAAAAAAAAAAACAGTAGTCACAGAAAATAGTTAGGGCAAAAGTCACTTAAACTACTCTGAAAATATTTTTTTTTTTTACCAAATCTACCATATCATAACAAATGTGTTATGATATGGTAGATTTGGTAAAAAAAAAAAATATTTTCAGATTTTTGAATAATGATTCAAAAATATTATATATTTATTTTCTTTTACTTCATGTTGTATATAATATATTTACAAACTATTTATTAAATATATTATAATCTGTATTTCATTATACAATACTCTACCTACTTACTACTACTATCAATAGATCCATCTATGAAAAATGAATTTATTTATACAGTAATTATTGTATTTCTAAAAGGGTCTTAATCGTAACATCTTTTTTGTTAACTATACCACAGATAAGATAATATTACATAACTGTACACTGTCTTATGTCTAGTATGCATGTTACATAAAAGTTCCGTTAAGCGTGCAACGACGGATCATAAATGTGGCGCTTTGGTATCATGTTTACTTTTATAAAACACCGCCCAATAAGTACGTAAGTATGGCGTCTTTCCTGCAGTTTTTAAATTACATTTTTAAAACTGCCTTTAGTTTTTTACATTACATTACATTTAATTTTTATTACTTAATATTAGTCTCGTGGTTCAGTGGTTTGCTACTTGACTTCCACCTCAATGATCGTGAGTTCTTTTAGGTGAAGCTTGTTATCAGTATATGTATATATCTAGTACCTATATGTTTAGTAGTCCCTATATTTTAATATATAATGCGAAGTGTGCGCTTGTGGTACTACAATGGCAGTTGATGGCTCTAGTTATCCTGGATAGTAATCGTGACGATCCTGCAGCCGAAATACCTTCCGCTTCGATTAATAGAACTGACATGAGACTCCGCATATATATTTCAGAGCATTTTAATCTCTGCAATTTAGAAAACATATTTTGTGCGTTTTGCCAAAATAAGACGATTTCCGTAAAGGAAAGATCCTTCATTGTAACTTGGAGTTTCGTTCTGAATGTATTTAAGTGCATATAGGAATGTAGTATAGTATATTAAAAAGTTTGAAATGAAAGTTAAATTTAAAATGTCAAACATTTTATATATAAATTTAGTACTGAATAGTACTGATCTAAAGCAGTCTCTACACAGGCTACTGATCTGTAGTACGTATTGTGTATAAGAGACAGCTGTCAATAGTTGGTATACTACAGGATTTGCCACCTTTCATTATTTACAATAGGTGGATTGAGCCATATTTGGTATGGTATGGTAATGGTAGAAGCGGAAGGCGGCCTGCTACCTCCATACCAGATCCTCTCGTCCGGCATTATCACCTTGTGTCCTTTACATTACATGAGGGTTATTACGGGCGTCACGTGATAACGTGATGTCAATGGAGCTCTTGACCACTTGGGACGGTATTGTTTGTTTGCCATTATATCTATCTTTATAATATTATAAACGCGAAAGTTTCTAACTAAAGATGTTTGTTACTCTTTCCCGCAAAAACTATAATTATACATCAAAATAACAGATAGTCTATATTATTTTTTTATTGAAATTTAGTAGCTAGTATAAAATAAGTTTAATAACTTTTGTAAAAGAGCAACATACAAGGATTATTGTTCTTGCGATGATAAGAAAAAAACAATTAATCATAAGACTAACAGTAACAGTAGGTACAATAAAAACATATGTCTGTTATAAAGTGCTTATACAAATATTAAGTTTATTTGAATAAACATAATTTCTACTAGTTTAAACGAGCAGAAGTATATAGGAATTTAATTAAACATTTAGAGGCTAATATTCATAACGTAGTTTTACAATATTATGTATATACGTAAGAATTTAGATTTTTTCTCAAAAATAGTGAATAGTATGTAGATACAAGTATTAACTTGCAGTCCCCAAATTTCGATTAGATAAAATTAATTGGTTATATCGAAATAAACAAATTTCACAATATGATATCAAAACACATTTTAATATTTTAAAATGTTTATTTAGCGATACTTATTGAATAAAGCCTATTACTCTGTAAACGCTTTGGGAGACGACCTTGTATGGCGTTAGTTATTCAGACTAAATATTTACGATATTTTAAATATGTTATACATATAAGTAATTTAAATGCTGTGTTATGTTATTAGAGATAGAAATTAATATAGAAAATATAACATTAAAAGAAATGTTGTTGTTTACATTGCCAGTTCTTTTAAACTGAAGAAGCTAGCTGAACTAGACGGTAGAAACAAACTGTGACTTGCTTAAGATGCCGAAATAGTCGTGCACGTTTTGAAATATTAATAAATTAATGGTTTACTGAATATTTATTGGAATAGAATAGAAATTTTTTTAGTCAAATACTTTAAAACATAAGCACTATTGAATACATATTTTCAGAAAACTATCTCATTATAAGAAGAAGGAGCTAAGACATTTGCGTTGCAACATAACGTTTTAAGTTAAAATCTGTGAAAACAAACTATCAACTAATTAGTTGCAGTTAGAATATTAAATTGTGCGTGTGGTGGCCCGTAAGAATAGCACCACCCCCTCTCTTTCCGTGGGTGTCGTAAAAGGCGACTAAGGGATTCATCAACCGGTGGACGCGCAGCAGCATTCTACTGAGTAACTACCATCACACCGCGATCGCCAACCCGCATTCCAAGCGTGGCGATTATGGTAATATCCCCCCAAATGGATTTACACCCAAGGCCCCGGCCCCCAGTCCCCGGCGGTCCCGCTAGTCTAGACCTTTGTAGCGGTTATGGAAACGGCGGGGCAGGGGGTGCGAAGAATCTCCGGGTAAGTCCAGGCTACCACAAACGATCATCACTGGCCCTGGCAACATACAACGTTCAAACATTGCGGACTGACGAAAAGCTAACTGAACTGGAGAAAGAGTTTAGCAGATTGGATTATCTGAAGTCC